TTTTCGACAGGCGGCGGAGTGTGTTCGGGTACCTCTCCGCTTTGTTCGCCACGCTTTCAGGAGCATTGGATAGACTCGAGTGTTCGAAAGAGCGAGGCCGCCCGGATAAGAAGAGAAAGAGATGGGGAGGGAAGAGAAGAAGGAAGATCAGGTAGAGGATAGCCGGCAGCCCGAACTGGCCAGTGAGTGCTCCGGATCCGACTGGACCGGTTTTGTTTGGATTCCCTAGGAGTTCTAGCCTTCGGGAGTCTCTGCAAGTCTGGCTCTCGGCTTTCTGAGATTCTCTTACTGGTCACCACCGGTTACTGGTCACGACACAGAACTTTAGGACAGGCACTCGTCGCTCTCTCAGACATTTCTCTCCCTCCCTCTCTTTTCTTTTTCTCTCTCTCTCTCTCTCGTTCTCTGTTGACTTTTTCTTTCCTCTTCTCCTGCGTCCACCAGGGAGGAAGTTTCACGCCGCATTGCTGCTGGATGGTTTCAGCCGTACTAGATTTCAACGTATCATTTATCATCGGACGAGGGCGGCAGCCGCTTGCACGCGCTCCTGATGACTTGATACCAAAGGCAACGATCTCGCGACATTGATACACCAGACTCCTATCTCAGTCCGTGCGGACCGAACTAATTTGAGAACTTCCTAAATGACCTAAATAAATACGTGTCAGAAACTGTGATTAATCGAGGATGTATGATTAGGATTTGACGTTGTGTTTTGGCTTTCGACATTCCTTAAGTTTGCACTAAATTATTAATTATTAATATTGATAATTTAGATCAGAATTAGTTTATGATTAGATGACTCTTGAACTTTTTACTGAAGCAAGACTCCGTCACGATCTCACGTTAACTAAGGTTCGGCGCTCTTCATCCTCGTTTCAAAATGTTTCGTCGAGGTGTTGTCGTCGAAATCCAGTTTAGGAATCGAGTTCAGCATCCTGAAACGGTCCTGAAAGACCGTTATAGGTGACAACGGCGGAGCTCTTCGTTCTGGAAAGGTGAACTGGTCAGCCAGTTGCGTCGCGGTTTTGTCTACTTAGTAATACGCGTGAAAAGAGATGGTCGTTGAGAAAAAGGGTTGCACGCAGGTTTTACTTCACAGGGTGGCAGGCGGTCTTCTGCCTCATTGTGGGAACGTCCCGATGATGGATTCGGTCATTAATTAAGTCAACTAAGTGGGAACCTCCTGGCTCATTTTTTACTCGCGAGAAACGAACTACTTGATACGCGATGTGTGTGTATTGTTTATCACTGTCGTTTATTTATTATTTAACCACGCAGCGATTAAATTCAGGGCTTCTAGCTGCTTATTTACTCTTTTAAATCTTGATACGTCATATTAATTAACACATTTAGTACCACATGAATTACTTGGTACCGCAAATAACATAAGAGAATTATGCATACCTAATTTTTTTTTTCGCGCGATCACGCAGCAAGTCACGCAAAATTTATGCGCCATTGACCGTGTTGAATTATATAATTATTCCTACGTAATAAATCTTTCATACGTGTAATACTTTATAACTGCTGGCTTATTTGCATTAATTTCGAGGGACTATAACTTCAACTCCCCGCCTTGTGCGTTAACAACTTTATTTACCTTATAATCTGCACGAAATCTTGTATCCGGAATTAAAGTATAGAAAATGAGAAAGAGGAAGAGAGATTACAAGCTGACGCATTCAAATCTTAGTAAAGACAATAAAAATTAAGTTTCAAATTCATAGTGTTGTGAAAGCTGTAGCGACACACAGAAAAATATAAGTAGTAAGATAAAAGCAGTAAGCGAATTATGGTCGAAGAGGTAAGACGAACATCAAGTACATAGAAAATGTTGATTTACTTACTGCTTACGTTTATACTGCTTACATTTATCCATACGTCATTAGCTTAAAGAATTTTGTTTGACAGAATAATTTTGTCAAAAAGATATAAATGCAAAAGAATATATATGTAAATAATTCATTGTTAGTAATCTAAGAAATTATTCAGGGAATAATTCAAAAATTCGGTGCATGTTCTTATAGAAAAGATCGGGTTGTAGGCCAAACTTCGCTAAGTCATCGAGAATTATGCTACCTGCATGCTAACACATTTTTTGTGTGCGTTGCGTGCTCGTTGCTTTAGCGCGCGTGGACGACAGGTGATACGCGTGACGCCCGCACGAGATTTCGGAAAATCGTGTACATAGAAGGGCGTCCGTGGAGTGGAACGTCAGGATTATCGTCGTTGTCTGACGCTTTAGAGGTGTCATTAGCCACGGCATGTCACCGGTGGTAAAAGAGCGCAGCTGATGAATAGCGATGATCGCCGCTCGCATCGCGTCGCTTTCGAAGAGGGTAAAGTCTACTCGACCGCGCCACCACACATTCATTATGCCGCTCTTTTACGAAATAAACCGGACGCACGCACGATGCTTCTGCAATGGCATTTACGTAATCACCGTGACAAATTTCTCTTGAAAAAATTAATTTCGACCTATGATCAGGATGATTCACACGAATTTTTAAGATTCAAAACTTTAAAACAAGACTTCGTCTAAAATTCTAAGAATTTAAATTATTAACATTTCAACATGATTTGCATCCAGGTGTTACTTCGATAAAATTTCCGCGGTCGGTATTTGCGCAAACAATAAAGAGCCCTCGCGAATGTCGAGGCTTAATTAGCGAACGGTAATAAACGAAGATTGCATCCATTTATTTATGCGACTCCAATCACAAACGGCGTGTCGGCCACGACACTTCGGTGTCGTTAAACTTGCGGCAGTTGGCTATCGAAACGACGAGTAAACAAAGCACTGAATCAGAAATCGATATAAAACGAGGCACTACGCTGCGTCGGGCATCGAACGGCAGGTGATTAATAGTAAACGTGCCGGCTTTTTTCTTGTCTAATTTATTCGCCCCGCCAGATCACATTTTTCTGTGCGCACGCCTTAATAACCGTTTAATACTGTGCTAATGATGGCTCTTTGCCGAGACTAATGATTTTGATCATCCTGCGCTAACGACAGCATCATCGGCATTCAACAGTAACAGGGCCGCTGTGCAACCGCACACGTCGATTACGTTGAAGATGAAGATTTATGTAAAAATATTCCACCGCTGAATAGTGCTAATAGTACGGACTCACTATTTCATTATAAAAACGACTACTGTGACTGTCTCAGACCAGCCTCTTCTAATTCATCGCCCATGCGATTATACTTGATGATAATACAATTAATATAATCCTAATGATTGTGTGCCGTTTAAGCTATTAGATAATATATATTGTATATGTATATATAATCTATCACGGCATATATTGATAGCGTCGAGTCAGCTGATGGTCATTAAAGCTAACGTGTAGCAATAATGCCCGTTACGCATATTTAACATCGCATTTGTATATTTTGTTTCGGTGAGAAATTGTCATTCCTCGGTTCAAATCGCGATTTGCATTCATGATTTTTGTTAGCGCGGAGAAACAGATAAATTGTTACTCTTGTTTGAGATTTATTTAATAAAAAATATAATTTTATATATTTCATAATTTTGTTGATTATATAATCTCTCAGTAAGTTCACACACACACATAGTTTTTTTTTTTTTTTATTATTATTTGTATACGGTGTGTGTGTGTGTGTGTGTGTGTGTGTGTGTGTGTGTGATAATGATTGTTTAAATTACCTTACCTCTGATTGTATTTTACCGGGTACTTTCAATGCATGTACCGAAATTTACGTATCGATACGCACGATTTGCGTGTCGGAGAACACGCGGCGAGGTGATCGTGGACAACGGGCCTTGTTTTCTTAAAACGCAAAAATTAGCGTTGCCTCTGGGCAGAGAAGAAGGAATCGAAGTATAAGTAAAAAAGAAAAAAGAGATACCCGTCTGATGCATCCACAACAATGATAATTACAAGTTGTTCCTTTCATGGCACCGCGCACGATTACCCGAAAATAAGCGTTTGTAATGGCATATCTTCCTCTCTCTTCCCCGTTGCTATTCCTTCGGCGAGCCTTTCTTCGGTGCTGCTTCTCTTCCGCCTTTCATCCTTCGGGCACCTGGACGAGGAACCACTGGCTATCTCTCAACGATCGCGCGAGAGTCGTTGCATATTTTGATATAGCACGCTCCAAGAATCATTTATTTGATCGCGTTGCAAGGAGAACGACAGGTGATTTATTAACATTTTTCACTGTACAGGTTTATTATACATTTTTCGAAATATAGGCTTTGATCCTTTATCGTATCTATTGTATGTATAACACAAGATAATTTATTGCAGCAATTTATTACATCGAAAAAAATGTACCAAATTTTAATAAACATTTGGTTGAATAGTATGACTTAACATTTACTTGTGGTATACCAAATCTTTGATTACTAAAAAAAAAATTAAATTAAATGAAATACCAAATAAATATTTATATTTAGTAAATATTCAGCTAGAGTACTATTCCAAGTCCCAACAAATATTTAATAAAATTTAGTACATTTTTCTCTCAGCGTACTCTTGATGTAAATTAGAAACTCAATTTACGCTATATACAGTCCAACATGCAGAATAGATAATAAAATTTTAAAAGATGATTTTCCAGAAGAATAATTTAGTAGAGATGAGTATTTTTTTCGAAAAATATTTCGCGCCCATCGAACAATAAGCTATACGCTGAATCACAAAGGAGTTTTGCATTCGCCTGTATATCCGCGGATTCCATCTCGTGGGCCCTACGGTGTAACAAGCGAACGCACATAATGATATTAATCAGGGCGGTGTGTTCGGCTTCCTTAAAATTGCCGGCAGGCTCAATTTCTCACTTAAAATCTAATTAGAGCTTGCCGGAGCCCGAGCTGCCGTAGGCCGACCGACGGGATTTAAGAGGGCGTGAGGGGGAACGGAACCGAGAGGGGTCCCGTTCCCTTCCTCGACACAAGTGGGCCGCGAATTTGACCTCGGAATAAAGACGAATCCCAAACCTAAGGCCCTACTTTGCGAAATTGCAGTTTCCTGCCCTCGGATTGCCGATCGTCCCGCGGACCCATTTTCGGATCCACCGAACTCAACGATCGGCTCATCGACTCGGCCGCCGCCGCTCTGCCGGACTTAGTCGGGGCCCCCGAAGAAGCATCTAGCCGTCAAGGATCGGTCATCAGGACTTTCGGGACGTCCGGGACAAGTCGTCCGTCGATCGCGCGCAGTCAGGATACTCGGGCGAACCTAAATATCGTCGGATTTGAGGTAAGACACTTTCCGTTATACCATAAATCCTTACATTAAAATGTAAAATGTTTTCCTTGAAAAGTCAGAAAATATCGAGGCACACATCAATCAAAATTTTGGAATGGTACAATGAAAAATAAAGAAAAACATTAGTTATTTTATATATATAGCTATTCCGACATGCTTTCTTTATTATCTCTGTATTTCTGTTGGATTTTAAAAAAAATTATCGGCTTTACGTGCGGAATTGTCGTGATATTTGATTGATGCATGGTCCGCAAATATTTGATGGTCTACGTGAGAGTTTCAGTAACGATAAAATACGTTTGCATTCCGCGATCGACAGGCTGGTGTCAACTCGTTTTCGGAATACATCGACGTTTAATGCATAATTATATGAATCGAACGTTAAATCGCGAGGGTCGCATATATTGGGGATGCGTACACGACGATAAAAAATCCGAACGCGAAGAGGGTGAGGGGTGGGTGGGGGTGACAGAAGCAAAAAAGGACGGCCAGTCGTTAGCAAGGTACAAATTTCGCCATTTGCCGCAATAAACCTTCGAAGCCGCTTGTAACTCCTTCTTATGGGAGGCATGAGTAATCGCCTTGTTAGCCCTTATGGCCTATAGCCCTCATGCTTGCTCCCTCATCCGCGGGAGGGACAACAACAGCAACAACAACGGCGGACGGATACACGCATCGATATAGAAAAAATAAAAAGAAAGGTGAGAGAAAGTGGGAGAGATAGAGAAATAGAGGGAGAGAAGAGGAGAAACGATAGGAGTACCACACAATATATCGCTATATGTATCCTATCGACACGAATGTATTATATATGTGTGTATAACGAGCAAAGAGGGAAGAAACTGTGATGTAAAAGAAAGAGCAGGATAGGACGATGGAAAGAAGAAAAAGAAGGAGAGAGAGAGAGAAGAGAAGAAGAGAGAGGAAGCCGCATCGCAAGGAGAGAACAGAAAAAATCAATGGGAACGACAGACAGAGAAGAGGTTTCTATAAGGGACGAAATACAAATGGAATCTCGGATAGATTCCCTTGGAGCTGCAGCGTAATATTCTTCCATTTTCCGCGTTAAAATCGAACTAGACCGCTCGCATCTACGATATCTCTCGCGTTTCGCGTCGCTCGTTTTCCACAGGCTCCTTAATTAATAGCACATTAATAGAAGGGGTAGTCTCGATAAATGTGAGACAGATGTAAGATGCAAAACACATACACGCGATATGTAATGTTGGCACCTAAAACAAAAACGTGTGTTTGCGCACGTTTTTTATCGCAGACTTTTCTTTAGCAAATTCAAGTTGCACTATTTAATGAATTGGGAATAAGACCGTTTATTGACGAATTTTTAGAAGGAAATATTAATCGCAGCAATTATTTTTTGATGAAGGAATAAAAACAGGAAATAAATTTAAAAAAAAATTATTCTTGGTTATATTATTCTTCTCGTTATTATCTCACACTTATCATATACATATTTGAATAAATGCACATTAATTATATTAGCTAGTGTCATATCTGGATTACATCAAATCAAGGACTTCTTGCACTGACTGTTCCACGTATGACTAGTAGCTTATTTTTAATTAACGACGGATAATTAATAATGGTAATGTGTGCGCATGTGAATCGCTGTACTTGTTAATTTCCATTCGATAATTATCGTAATGAAATCGTCTTTTGCGATTACCGATGATCGTGCGCATTGCAACTTATAGATTATGTGTTATGACATGAGGTAGTTTTAAATAACAAAAAATTAATTTTAATTATTAATAAGTCTCTTACACAACAGTTTCACTAAGGCTTAAGAATTAAAACTATATCCGTAATTATGATACATACATAGAAACGTCACTTTTATTAAGAAAAAATCGTGGAGCTCTCCGATTAAGGAAAAAGAAAACTCGATGTGAAGAATAATTTTTCAAAAGAGATTATACTCGTTCACCTCTAATTGTCCGATTGAGTGGTAAGTTTTTTGAAATGCAATTCGAAGCATGGACATTATTTTTATCGGGAGATGTAAGAAGATCGTGCATGTCGTGTTTCTTGCAGCGTGAGGAATTTCGCCGGAAACGAGTTGTCTGTCCGTCGTGCGCACGGCGCCCTCGGGATTCCTTTTTCCTCGTAATTCTCACGGGACCTCCAGCTTCGCGATACACGCACACGCGCGCGCACACGCGAGGAAGTCGCGTGGCCCTATATCTTAAGAGGAAGCCAGGGGGGGTCCAGTCGAAGGACAGCGAATGGGGACTAACACTGTTTTATCGTGTAGCCAATTAATAACGTCTCCAGGGTTCCCTCCACCTTCTCTCTCTCTCTCCATCGCCACCAGCAGCCTCGTTCGCGAAGAAGAGATCTTGCTTTAGATATCCACCGACTCTCCCGTGGACCCCCCGAAGACGACATCTCGGACCCCGTAACTGCTCGATCTTGCGCGCTTTTTATTTGCGTGCCTCCCCCGCGTCGTCGTGCCGCAAGACAGTAATGAGTTAAAGCGTCACCGTTGCAGAAATATTAACGATTCCATACTTATGTACTATAAAAATACATAAATTAATTGTAAAAATAATCGAGCATTGGTCATTGGAACACATATCCAATAAGTATGTCTGCCTTTGTGTTTTAGCTTACAGAGTTGTCTCGCATCGTCCTCCTGCAAGCAATCGTTCCAGAATCCAGTCCCAGCCAGGCATCGTGTCAGTGTGTGGAAATACATAATTATATAGAATTACGGTATAAGTTGTGTTAAATCAATGTTAATCGCTGTAGCGAAGTGGGGTATTATAATAAATACATTATTTTATGTATATTTGTCGCCTCGTTTTCCCCGAAGAAATTGCCACGTCCCAAGCGCTCCGAATAAACGAGTACAAGTTCTGATAATAATTAAATAAAACATCGATTATCGGATGAGATACGGTTGGATCTTCGATATTGATCGGATAGTCAAATTAACTGTCGAGTACAGCCCGGCTAATCGTTTTACAAATTACAACCTTCCGAAGTCGTTCGAAATTTGGCGGCGTACTACGCGAAAAAAATTTGTCAGACACGTCTAATTCCTCTTCCTCTTTCAGCGCGGTAAACGGATCGTGTTACGATTACGAGGCATGGTCGTAATCGCTTTTAAAGGCACTTTCGGAGCTTACGGCCCGAACTTTTCCTCAGCTACAAAGAAGCTCAGCTTTTTTCCACGGTCGTTCACCGTGCACCGGGAGAGAAGAGTGGCTCGTAAAGAGCGCCTGCAATAGCCCGGCATCTGCGATGCGCAATTAACGAAAGGGTTTTCGCCTTCACCCCGACCGCCAGCGTCCCCCCCTATCCCTCCCGCGGCAGCTTAAAGGCCAGCCGCCACACCCGCTGACAAGGCGTTTGATTTATAACGAGCGTTTACTTTTTAATTCCGACGCAAGTGTCACCCGTGTTTTTTCTTCTCCTCGAGCTGCCGGGAACCCGTTGCGTTGCAAACGCGTTACGAGACAGCTTATAATTTATACACGGTCCTGTTCAGCTTCGACTTCACGTAATAGCGCTGGACGTCAGTGTCGAGATTAATCGTAGATGAAAATCTCAGCTATCTATCCGTCGATTCGTAAAATTAATACGTCGTATTATTCGCAAACCAAAAATATACGTCAATTTCTTGAAGGATTGGTATTTTTTTTATCGCAATTTTTATTTTAATATTAAGCGTATACTTTAGCGCGAAGGTCAAACTATCATCTAAGCTTTAATGAAATTTTTAACGATGCAATTATTAACAGTACGAAAATCCACTTACTTTATTTCGAAATTGAAAACAACTTATTATTACAGAATATCGGGTCTTGTCTCAAGTCGTAGAAATAATCGACCGCGCCGCGCCGCTCCTCGAGCAACTTTTCAGTGAGTATCAGCTCTATAGCTTTAATTGTCGAAAGATAACACCGAGAGGAAGGCGAAAGATGGGAAATGAGGAAGGAAAGAGACCAGAGATCGTGTCGTGAAAGTTTGAAGCTCTCGGTGGATTCGCGCTTAACTCGGGATTTGAGACTCGAGGGGTACTTAACCCTCGGGATGGGTTATGAAATGACTTTATGGCAGATCAGAGGCTTGCTGTAGATTGCATAAGGGGGTCCAGGAGTACTCGTGTAGGGGTACATGCCTCGGTCGACAAGTCCGAGCTGGAAGGACGATCTCTACGGTATGACAACGAGGAGTCAGGCCCGAGAGAATTCTGCAAATGGAATCCTGATTACGAATAACGTCGTCCTGTGACCTTTCGAAATCTCTGCTCTTCGAATCTGCTCGCGTCATTCATGGATCGGTGACTCCAATTCGTAAGTCAAATGTTTTATTGTATATCGTAGTTGTGAAATTTAATATGAGAGTATTTGTGTAAATAATTAAAGAGAAAGATATGTTATCGCAATGTGTGATACTATATTATAAACTTGTGCGTAAGATATTTTGCAACGTTCGGTCTAAAAATAAAGCAAGATTATTCAGTTTGAGCGATTATTCCTTTTTATAGCTTTAAGAGAGCTGACTGGAGCTGACGCAGTCGGGCTCGTAATCGTAGTAGATTCAGCATTAAATGTCTGACTTTGCATGATTATATATATTATGATATCGTTGTTCATTGCATGTGATATGCACTGTGTAAATCACTTCATCTCAAAGAAGAGACAAAAGAATTAATTTAGAATATATAGAAATGTTCTTTTGTGTGTTAATAGGAGATTACCTTTATTTTATTTATTTTCTTTCTTTATTATACGCGAAAAGAACGTTTTTACTGAAGTATCTGAAAATTTAGCAAAAAAAAATACAGATTTGAAAATAATTTTGTTGAATCATCAAAATAATGAGGTAGAAAATTCAAGCAGGATAAGCAATGTTGCATAACATTTTGATATTCTAGCAATTAGTTTGAGTGTTCTACATAATTATTTTGATAATCTCCAACGAAATCATTTTCAGATGTGTATCTAGCTAAATTTTTAGATTCTTCAGCAAAACCATTTTTTCCGTGTGTGCGTGTCTATGTATAAACTGTTAGTATAAACGAAATATTATAAACAAGTAGATGGTATAAATGAAATAGATGAGGTATGGCCACCATTATGTCAATTTTGTATTTACTAGGAAGTAATTAAAGCAATGAGACAAGTGATCTTAATATGCATGACAATGCTTGCTTTAGTTTAAATTATAATTCAAACACTAATGTTTTTTTTTTCAATTTAAGTTATAATTATGCACGTCTGAAAAAATTGATCAGATAGATATGACAGTAATAATAATTGTAATATGATATAAAAAGATTTAATTTAGACCTTTGCGACGATTTTATAATGTTAAATTTGCATTATACATGTAACGGCTTAGATTTTTTTTTTCATTATTTAACATAGTTCCTCTCACGGTGTAATCGATCGATTACGTCGCATCATACTAGTCCCTTTTTTTTTTTATTCAAAATAAAACACGCGTCGCGCCCGGAATTTTCACAGCAACCTACCATCTCTATTTGCGTGACGGCAGATACGTGAGATAGCTCAGGTTTGAGCACCTCTTTGTAATTTTACGTTGCCGTGGGGTGGCTAAAGCTGACGCAGTGGGGTAGATGGTCGGTGGTATGCCCAGTAGCCAATTCCCGGCTTTGGGCTCGACTCGGCGGGTCCATTCATCGCCGTGCATTACGTGACCGGTTTACCAATCCAGCCCTTCCTGCACCAACGCCGCCGCCGCCGCCGCTGCCACCATCGCTACCATCACCACCACCAATGCCTGTATACCTCTTTTCCGTTACGAGAGCTGGCGCGGAAGGGCCGTCGGATACGTACCTGTGTGTACGTGTATCTGCCAAACAACCCCCAGAGTCATATCGACCGGTTGGAATAGTCTGAACTCCCTTCGCGATTCCGAAATTCTCTCGTAAACGATTTTCCAAGGTTTGATTCCGCTGTCCGTTCCGTTCCGTTAAAAACGACGCTCGGCATGACGGTGGCTTCTCGTCTTGTCGCGCGTATCCTTTATTTGCGTCGCGTGTAGAGAGGTCGGGTCACATTCGTGATTCGAATCACGCGCGACCATGTGAATTTTTACGTCGTTGCCCAGTGACCGATCGTTTCGTTTGCTTGTCTGAAAAAAATAAATTACGTATTTACATAATTTTCTTGAATCTATTAAACAGACGTATAAATTTAACAGCCATAATAATTATTTCGTAATAGAGACGTATAATAATTTAGGACGCTGAGATCGCGACGTTGTTCGTGCTTAGGAAGGACGGACTCGATCGCCGCAGACAAATCGACTGGCCGCCGCAAAAAGGACAACGCCGATGGGTAGACGCGCGCAGGGTCTCAAAGTAATTATTCCGTCTATAAAACGGCCCGGCACGAATTTCCGTGACGAATTGCCCGCGATATCCAGCGCGAGCAAACGAAACGCCCACGAAGAAGAGGCCGGCTGAATCCGCGCGAGAGGAGAGACTTTCGAGAGGCAAGTCTTCACAGGGGGGCGTCACGTCTCTCTGCGTCTCTGATGACGACGGCACGTTCGACTTGCGAGCCTTGGACGAGCAGCTTGGCGAAGGGGCGAGGAGAGAAGAAGGTTCACCTCGATCAGCTCGGTTTCTACACGATGATGACATGTTAATGTATGGACGCGTAGTACATAAGCGTGTCTGGAAGGAGGTGCCGGAGGAGGGCAAGCACGCTGGTGCCAAGCACGAGCCAAAGCAGCCAACCCCCCTCCTGTATCCTCCGCCGAGCCCTCCGCCGAGCCCCGCGACACCCCTTTCGTGGCGGATGGATTTCTTTCGGTTTAAGACGAACGGGCCTAGGTCCCCGACCGTCGTCCCGAGTCATTGTCGCCCTGCCTTCTTCATCTGCATACAATGCTAGAGACATCCGCGCGCGGCACCGTCCCTCCTCGCTCCTTCCCCTCCTGTTGAATTCACTGCCGCTCCCCCTCCCCCGTATCATCGGGATGTCGTTAATGCGACCGTCTGTCGAAATTATCGAAGGAGAAATTGAGATCCGAGAGGACCGGGTTTTGGATTAAGGATGACATCTAAATTAATCCAGCGGATTTTCGGAGCAGTGGGTGTCGTAAGAGCAGTCAAAGAATTCGTACTGTTATAGAGGAGTGGCTTAATAAATAGGAAATATATATCTACGATTTCTTCGCTCGAGACCTATTATAATCCTTTCTTTAAAGTCACATCGATGTGACGAAAATAGACAATTGTTTCATGTCTAACGTTATCGACAACGTCTAATCGCCGGCTGCAATTTCAAACTAGAGGGGAAGAACTCGATTAAGAATCTGACGTTAGGGATCATAACTATTAGTCGCGTTTCCAGTGGAACTAAATAGAGGTAACAGTTGCGGTTTATGAAATTAAATCGCTGCTGACTTCTGAAACGAGGGTCAGCTTTGCTATTACCGTACCATAATTTATATTTTTATTTTGAAAGAACCTATTTTTTTTTTTTAAGAACCTATTTTTCAGTATGTATTTTACATATAATAATGCACTATTTTATAAATAATATTTATTTCTTCTAGAAAATTATTCATTTAAGAAATAAAATTAACTATGTCGTAATTTTTTAAACATAACAAATAACGTCAATGATGATATACAAGAACATTGTTGAGTATATTGATATCCACCTCGCAAAATCTCCATTTTAATAAAGATTCAACTATATACAAAGGGTAGATAGTTTTTATATTTCCATCGCATTGCTCTAACGTCTTATTCGGAATGAAGTAATGCGAAAGTTTTTAACAACGATGGCAAGAAAGGGGA